ACGAGTGCGTAACGCATCGCTAGCAGTTCCTTGTCGTGAACTGAGTAATTGCGCTCGGCAGGTTTTAACTGCCGAGATTAATTATATACCACACGTTCGTTACCATTTTTATCATGCTGCATCAACGCACATCCTATGGCGAAGTCACTCGCATCGCAGAAAACATGAAACGGGGTGTCATGATTAGGCAGCGCTAAAATTGTCTCTGTCGAGAGTCTCGGCTTGATCTCGGTAGATGCAGACTGGTGCTTCTGGCGCCATACCCATATGGCGTTCTTCTTCAGCACTTGTGACAGCGGGTAAATCACGGACGCGAAGTCCTTCGCGTATTAATGAAGGTAGTTGGACAAACCCAACCATTGACGGAGATGCTTCTGGTCCTTTGGAATTGTCCAAGGACAAATCGCCGAGCCTTTTTCCGGATCAGCGCGAACACCCTTTGCGCTAATATAGCTGCCCAACACGGGAATCTCAGGGGCACAAAGATGCAATTCTTCAGGTTCGCGTAGAGTTTTTTCTCGCGCATCGCTTCAAAAACCTTACGTGGGTGGCCTAGATGCACATCCAGGTCTGTCGCGCCCTCAGTGGCGCAACTGTGAACGAAGACATCGTCAAAGTAGCTTGGCGCGAAATCGCGAAATGGGCGAAGAACAGGAGACACCATACGATTAAAAGTAGCAGGGGCCTTTTTGAACCCCTTTGGCATCACAAGCCACTCCCACAACATACCGCTAGGCGTGCTGACGGCGGTAAGCGGGACGTCCTCAGGACGCATCAGTATTTGGTAAAAGCCGTCCGTAAGATCTACGGACGAGAAGATTGTGCTTCCAGACATAATATCCAAAACCATGTCTTTCCGTGGAATTGGTGTCTGCGCCGGAATTATCACGTCGTCCAGTTTATTAAAAGCGTGAACGATACTCCATTTACCTGTCGCCTTCTTGACACAGAAGTTGGGACTCGCAGTTTAGTGATGTGTTTCTCGCGCACATGGCCAGCCTGACGACGCCCTTCAAAAAAGCGTCAATCGCTTCAACCTGTTCACGTGGCAACGGACACTGACGTGTCACACCATACTTCGACCCAGGAACGAGATGTATCCCGTGTCGCACACCTCTGTCGGCGGGAAGAACTGCTGGAATGGTGTGAGGAAAGACATCAGAGAATTTGCGAAAGCGAGAACAGGGTTCATCGACGCATCGAGTTCTTCCCACGATTGAGCCTCAAATCGCTCCTCACGAGTGGACTTCGGTTCCATTCCTTTCTGGAGCTCATGATTTCGATGTGGCGTAGCTTGAACGACTACACATAGTGTTCGATCTCTACCCCCTTCAACTCACGCAGCATCTTCGTCCAAAGTTGCTCAGGGAGCTGCGTGATTCCAGACGCGTCACGAGGCGGACTCGCGTCTTGCAACGGAGGCTAGGTGGATAAAATTCAGTCATGTTAACGACATTAATGGTTTCAAGAAGCGTAGCTTGCGTGAGAGAGCTCGACGACACAACGGAACGATGACGCTCACGACACCGTCTGCGTCGTCGCGACACAGAAAAACGATCCGGATACTCAACCAGGCGTAAAAAAGCCAAGGCTTCCGCGTAACTCGCCGAAGGCCCCTGCCTCGGCGTGGTGTCCTCAACGTGGACGGACACGAGTCCCACTGAACGCTCGTGATATACCGGAAGCGCCTGCTTCGGTACGGTTTTGGAAGAAGTCGCATGCGCGGGAGCCGCTGCTCTATCATGCGACACTACTGCGGGTTAGAAATTTGACTCAGGATCCACTGTTCGACTGAGGAGGAGCATGTAGCATAGTTGTAAACCACGCGCGAAGGGCCATAGCCCTATTCGGACGTAGGATGGGTCGTGGGATCGGGATCCACGTCGGCAACATGCTGCCACGTACTTGTAGGGCCATCAAGGACGGCAAGTACCGCTTTAACATCGATGTCACGTGGCTATACCGTACGGTTCATCCAATCAATGTCGGTTCACCACGTAATCCACGGCATCCCAAAAATACAGTCAAAGGATCCACTCAAGTCAATAACTTGAAATTCATCACTACTGGTAAAAGTATCAAACCGGTAAGGGAACACCACCGAACGCTTTCGGTGCGTGCGAGGCTTGCGGTCTGCATACCTCCCCAGGAGACACACGTACACGCAACCGCGAGGGGAGGATCGACAGAATGTTGGCGCGGGCAAAAAAATTGTCGTGCTGGAGACCAGCAAAACGCGAAGTGGACGCGACGCACCGTCAACGTGAACACTGAGCACAATCAAACGCGGATCATTGCTGAACGTGGTGGCATTTAGCTGCGCATAATATACAGCGGGGATAGGAGAATGTCTCCACCTTAGACACATTCTTTCGTCTTCGCCCAGTAGGACGCCCCGCGCCTTCTGGTTCTCGCCGTTTTTTTGGCTGCTCGGCGAGGGAGACGGAAACGTCCGACTCGGTGACAGCGAGCACTAGTGCAGGCGCGCGGCAAACGGCTGTGCGATGACCAGGCTAACGACAGGAAGCAGATCAGGTTTTTCGCTGCCGCAGTATTCAAAAGATATGACTGGAAGTGTAACGGGGTGAGCCCGTTACATAATATTGACACTAAGAACAAGTGTCAATAAGAATAATATTATAACTAATAATATTTTGACAATATTATCTTTTTTTATAATATTGTTCCTAGATCTCCTTGAAGTTGGAGATGCCTTCTCATTGGTTGATATGGGCCATCATATCAACCAACGCGCTGACCAATGACCGATGGACGCGCGCAATGAGTGGAGGGCAAGTTGTCAACATACATAGTTGTAGTTTAATATTGTTAACATAGGTTATAACAGATTAGTTTTATTAGATAGTTAACTATATTGAATACAGTTTCCTTTTTCTCTACTTCTAAGCGTTTATTTAGAAGTAAAGCTTCCTCTGCCTCTTGTGTAAGAGAGGTAATTGAGGCACCTGCTTTCACTGTAATCAGTGAAAGTAGACTATACTGTAATCAGTATAGTCGGAGGGTGCCCCATTACAGGAAGCACGCCTATGACCTACTGCCTCATTTACAAGCGGGGAAAAGTTTAACTCAAGGTTAGGTCGAAGGATCACTATATCGGATAGATCGCCAGCCTTCGAGGCTAGATGAAATATATCCACAGACATCTCGTCTATCCCTAAGAGAGCATTTAATGATGGGGAGACTTAGGTCTTCCGAGGAGGGACTTAGGTCTACCGACGAGAAACTGGATCTTATAATGAGTAACCGCGGTCGACTCTTTTCGGTACTGTTTCATTAGTATTCTGGTAATAATCATCTCTTTGTTGGTGTTGCAAATTGTTTTCAGCCTACAGTCGCTTCACCTCGAGGTCCCCTTTTCTTCCGCCTCTCTCCCGGGTGCACGGTCCCTTGTTTTTGAATTTAAATGACCTCTGGTGCTCCCACATTTCGCAAAACACTTCTCCACATCATAGTATGATCGTTATGATCGGCCCCGATTATCGCTGATAATATATCAAACGCGAGTCTTTGCGCCTGAGAGAGGTGAGCATGACTCTTCACTTTCACAGAGGGATAGTCTTTACGACGTAGGTGTAAAATGACTACATGTGCTGTCAAGTGTAGCGGAGCTACACAGCTCTTAAGCCAGAGGAAGAGGTGTAGGCTAATAGCCTTTAAGTTGTATAAAACTAATAAAAGGTTACGGCTAAGAGCCACTTAATTTTTAAGGAAATGATGCAATAACTAATTCGTCTACCCTTCTTAAGAAATTGTTATAGACTCTACAGGGAACAAGCAAGGAGCTCAGGGTTCCAAGAACCAACGTACAAAGTGCAAGACTTAAGTTATAAGCTTACAATTCAAAGACCCAACGCACGAAGTGCACCATAGAAGCAAGCCAATACAGGCTTTGTCTGTATGACTTAAAATGAGAACTGATTTTATTTTTGCATAAAGATTAAAGAATAAACCACTCTCTAGACTAGATCAATCACTATAATAGTAAATGCAATAGTATGATATCTAGACTTCTCTATTGGATGACACGTCATTTAATTATCAGTGTATGCTGCTGTGACTGTAGTATTACCTAATCAATACTCGATAAAATATAGTATCAAATATCATCTACTGTATAACCCCTTCTAAGGACCAGTATTAAGGTTACATTATATGCGTTATTAATGGTACTTTAGATGTACCGTAATTATTCAATCATCGCGTAACCCCGTTACAGCAACCGGAATCGGTCCGGATGGCACAATGACTTGTTTATCAGTCTCCACATTCTTCAAATTTCCAGCGCCCGTCAACGTCACTATGGCGTTCTTATCCTCCGCCTTTCCACGGACGAGTGGTCGTCAAGGGTTAATCAGGAGCTCTAGATGACGGAAGCCCGTCAGGATGCAGTCACACTTGAATCTGAAAAAAGTGATAGCAACGGGCATCTCGGCTGGATCCAACCTTCTGAGCCATGAAAATATGCGAAAGTTTGTCCCAGTCAATACGCAGCTCTCCCCCTATCCTGATATGGTGAGAGTCTTTTACAAAATCTCCAGATGATGCGAGACTTTGACAATGGCTTCATAATCCTGGACCTCATCAATCATCTTACCCATCAAGTCGTCCGTCGTCCAACATTTCGGTATCTTCTTACGCAGTATAAGCGTTCGTATTTTTTATCTCTTGATATGAACGCTCGTACGAGGTGTTGAGGGTCCTTTTCAAAATTAGAATAACATGGTGCACATGACGTTAAAAGTTCGGAGATCGCAATTGGAAGAACCGTGATAAACGCGCAGTGTAAGCAGAGACTTTGTTATACGCCATTGTTGGGATAAGTTATGCTAGCACGTTAGTCGGAAAATAACAACGTACTAGATAAGTCCGCGCATTTTATCTAAAAATGACAATCACTTCTGGCCACAGTAGGAGTCTACATAGTACAGACTCCATGCCTTATTTCTCATACCTGACGTGTGTAATTACACGAAGCGTCTTCACTCCCAATTTGTGTTTACACGGACGCTCTCCGGGATGTCAATGGTAATTTTCATGGACACAGCGTCGTTGGCATCCACGTCTCGGCGGCAGGTCCAGCCAGCTGAATTTCCGCGCTTGGAATCGTTCTTTTCGTGCAATAGTTCTAATAGCATCAATAGGTTTGGTGGGGCATTCCGCTGTTCAGCAATGTCCAGGATAGCTCCGTAGCCAATGGCACTAGCGTCGACCATTCCTTGAACCACGGTATTGACTGTAGGAGTCAGAGGAGGAGTAGCGACATTTGAGGAACCAGACGGCCGATTATTAGATAATGGCGCCGAGTCGGAACTGTTCGACCAGGCTGAATAGCGAGATGGAGCAGGAGTGGGCACTGAGCTCCACTCTGTTGACGATACCGGAGCCGTGGAAGATGATAATTTGCCAGTGTTTCCGCTCGGGAACAAGGAGATGATTGCTGATTTGGCACTTTGCGGCTGCACAAGCGCCTCCATTGTCTTCCAATCACGTACTAATGCACAGGTCAGGAGGGCTGAGAAGAGATAGCGCTTTGGGTCGATATTGAACTGTGTACGGAGAAGCCCTGGCTGACACGAGCTGTTGCGCGTGTGTAATTTCTTGATGTCGCCGTGGTAAAGCATTGAATAACGCAGGAATTCACTAACGGTCATGCGATGCACACTTTTCCGTGGAAACGCTAGCCAACGTGGATCGAGCTCAAGACGCTTCACATTCGCAGTGATTGCAGCCATCCACTGTCGTTGCATCTCGGGCGTAAAGACATCGAGGATCAACTCTTCCGATCCAGCCGCATCACAAATCTTTACACACCACGGACGGAGTGAAAATTTGCCTCGATAATCTAACGGTTCAATTTGCATCCCTCTTGCCAAAGCAAGACTTCCCTTTTTGTTCTTCTTTCCCGTCTTGTCATGGAACGGATTTATCGACTTTTCGACTTTTCCGCTCTCGTGTTTGAGGTACACAATCTCTTTTTCCGTTAATTGAACGTATCGCATCCTCCAATTGGCCTGCAAATTGCCCACTCCACGAGATCGTTTATCCATATGAGCTCCTTTCTCGCAGCTTTTGGGTGCCGTCTTGATGTCCTCTAGCTCCGTCTGAATCTGTAGTTTTGACAGTGTCATGTACTCGTGAAGCAGATCCAGAATCCATTTTGGAAATCGATGACGATATAGTTTAATAATCTCCAGCACATCATCAATCACCTTTAATGACTGACTAAATTCACGATCATAAAAGACCATGGAAAGCAGCATGGCTGCTAGTTCTCGGTATCTTTGGGTAGTAGCATATAGGTCCAGTAATCCTTGTAATGCATTAAGTGACACGGTTTCATTCGTGACTATACACTGCTCAACTAGATAATGAACCCATTGATTTAGTGATAATGGAAGTATTGCTAATTGTTTACGGAAGAGGAAAGGTGCCATTGTCTCGGATACAAAGAGCAAGACGTCCAGAATCACTGCAGAACACCCTGTCGCTTCTGCTGCACGTAATAAAGCACATTTATCTGCATACGCATGCAATGGCAATTTATAAAAATCACGAAAATTATAAATTCCATCACCAGAAGAAACTTTCTTGTCATTATCAAGCTCTAGATATACACACAAAAGTTGTGTAATAGTCTTATTTACGACTGACATTTGATCAAAATTCAACAAATTTGGGACTAACGACTTACGTCGTACAATATATACCGGTTATAGATTAAAAAAGAAGCTAATACCGGTAACAAAAAAATATTCAATACCGATATAGCAATATCCCAGTACCGGTATATTAATCTACCAAAATTTTATTAAAAATTGAGTGGCAATGCCTTCTCCACCTGCCGATACGAAGGCGTTGGCTATGGCCATGCGCCAGACGCTCAACTTGCCATCAACTCGGTTTCCTATGCGTGCTAATGCTGCTGTACGTGAGTTAGAGCTTCACAAACGATGTGTTTCTTTTGCTTATACAAATCAGTCAATAGAGAAACCATTATTTATATTGCATGATGGTCCTCCATTTGCCAATGGAGCTCTTCATATGGGTCATTTTCTTAATAAAATACTAAAAGATATTATTAATCGGTATCAAATGATGCGTGGAAAACGTATTTGTTACGTGCCTGGATGGGATTGTCATGGTCTTCCTATTGAACACAAAGCATTGACATTATTACAATTGAATGCCAATGAACTGTCACCACTTCAAGTACGTGCAGTATCGAGACAATTGGCTCAAAAGGCCGTCAAAAAGCAACAAGAAGATTTCAAACGATGGGGTGTATTGGCAGATTGGTCTGGAGCACAAGATAGTGTCTATTTGACAATGAGTCGCAAGTATGAAGTTAAACAGTATGACGTACTCAAGACAATGGTACGTGATGGACACATCTTTCGAGGATTTAAACCCGTGTATTGGTCTCCAAGCTCCCGTACGGCCTTAGCCGAAGCAGAGCTAGAGTACCAGAACAATCATGTGTCCCATGCTGCCTATATCAAGTTTCACTTCGCCTCCTTGGGGACGAATTCGAGTCAAGAGACAGCAAAAGTGATGAAAAAGGTCGGAAAACACTTGTCGGCCGTGGTCTGGACTACCACACCGTGGACGATCCCGTCCAATCAGGCTTTGTGTGTTAACGCGGAGCTCGAGTATGTGATTGTTCGTCCTTGCAACGTAGACTCGGAGGACTGTTATTTGATTGCAAAGGCACTACAGGAGACCTTTGCAGCGATATTAAAGGGAGATTCAGAGACGGAAATAGAGCTGGAAGTACTTGACACGCTCAAGGGCGCCAGTCTGAAAGGGGCATACTTTACCCACCCGCTGGTGAATCGTAAGGCGGTAGTGCTAGTTGGAGAGCATGTGACGACGGACGTTGGTACTGGCGTGGTGCACACGGCCCCAGGACATGGTCAGGACGATTACTTTGCCTGGATGGCGCACCATACAACGCCTGGTGAACATCCGGTCATTCTTTGCCCCGTAAATGATGAAGGCTGCTTCACTTCTGATGCTGGACAGGAACTTGATGGTCTCTGTGTGTTGGACGAGGGCAACACTGCAATTATTGGCTTACTCAAAAAGTCAGGCAACTTGCTTTCCATAAGTGAATACCATCATCGATATCCGTACGATTGGCGCACCAAGAAGCCTGTAATTCTTCGTGCTACCGCTCAGTGGTTTGCTCGTCTGGATGCGCTTCATGCGCGCGGGAAGAAAGTGCTGGGGGACTCGGTGCAGATGGTGCCGCCTAGCGCTCGTCGGCGTCTAGAGGCGACGCTGTCGAGCCGCCATGAGTGGTGCATTTCTCGTCAGCGTGCTTGGGGATTGCCGATTCCAGTATTTTACCATAAAGTCACAGGTGAGCCTCTGATCACGGAAGAAAGTATCGAGCACCTTCAAGGTATCGTAAAGACGTACACCGTTAACGGTGAGAACGGTGAGATTGAGCGTGAAGGAGCTGATTGCTGGTGGGATCTGTCCGTTCGTGAGTTACTACCAAAGGCGCTTCAGCATCAAGCAGACCAGTACAAGAAGGGCATGGACACATTGGATGTGTGGTTTGACAGTGGCAGCAGTTGGCATGCGGTACTGCCTGATATTTTAGAGCCGAATAAAGACGGGCTAATGTGTGCTGACGTGTACCTTGAAGGATCCGACCAACACCGTGGTTGGTTCCAGTCGTCACTGCTTACGTCGCTAGCGATGCAGGGAACAGCGCCGTACAAGAACGTCATTACTCACGGCTTCACTTTGGATGAGAGAGGCAGTAAGATGTCAAAGTCACTGGGCAATACGATCGTGCCCAACGATTTTATCAATGGCTGCACAATGCCAGTGCCCATCATCGACAAAGGAGATAAAAAGAAATCAAAGCGCAGCAACAACCCGCAAAAAGTCATGAAGGTTAATCAGATGAAGGTACCAGCGTATGGTGCTGATGTGCTACGCTTTTGGGTGGCCACCACTGACTACACTGGCGATGTAAGCATTGGTCCTGCTGTCGTTAGTAAGGCCAGCGATGGGCTACGTAAGTTGCGTAACACGGCGCGCTTTTTGCTCGGTAACCTGCAGGATTTTGACCCAGCGCAGCACGCGGTCCCGTACGATAAGATGCAGTTTTCACTGGACCGCTATATGCTGCACGAAATCAACTCGCTGGCTCAGACAGTAAGTGCGGCATATGATGCATTTGCGTTTAACCGTGTCCAGCACGCCCTTTCCCACTTCATCTCGACGGATCTGTCAGCTTTCTACATGGAGGCCACTAAGGATCGGCTGTATTGCGATAAAGCCGACTCTAAGACTCGGCGCTGTGCGCAGACCGTGTTATGGCTGTCACTGCAAGCACTTACTCGTGCTCTTGCGCCAATTGCACCACATACGGCTGAAGATATTCGGCTGCACTGGGTTTCACAGTTGCAAGGGAACATTCCCCTTGAAGATGTTCCGGGCAGCGTGTTTCTGGAGGAAGGTTGGATGCCTCGTGCCAAGGAGTGGAAAAATGACGACTTGGCTCGTAATTGGACTGCCATCCGTCAGCTTCGCTTTGAGGTGAACCGAGTGGTCGAGCAGATGCGTCAAACAGGTCGTGTCGGCAGCCAACTCGAGTGCAATGTGTATGTTCTTGCTTCCGAGTCTGACCCGCAAGTTGCAGCACTGCTGTCTCCACTTGTAAACACTTCTTCAGAACTTGAGGATGTGTTTATGTGCTCTCGCGTGGAACTCGTAGATTCTGAAGCTGAAATCGAAAGCGCAGAGCAATTTAAGACAAAGTGCCGGTTGGCAATGCGTCCAAGCGATGCTCCGATAGACGTGAAGCTGGTGTTAACTCCCGCCAAGGGCCACAAGTGTCCACGTTGCTGGAAGTACACATTTGAGGTCGATGCCGCGGAGACACAGCTATGTTTGCGCTGTGTCCAGGCCACAAACCTTTGCAGCGTCACTGATTTGGCACAGTCGCTGATCAATGAAAAAGCATAAAGGAATGGAGATAGCTTGCATAGATAAAGCAGCATATGTAGCCATGTAAACATCCAAGTGCGTAGTTATTCTTTGGCAGATCAAAGATGTATGGCACTATTTTAGAGATAGCAAGGGCACGCAAGTGTATCGTATCGTCACCACTAATTAATAAAAAAACTTAGGGCACAAATATCGTAGTATCGAATATCCTCATAATGATGTCTGACGTAGCAGAACACAAGCGTGTAAGCAATTTATTTGCCCAAGTAGTGGCCAATTCCAAGTCCCTCATCAGTGGCGTTCTCTCTGTTGATGAGGTGTTCGATTCGGCTTCCGTTCAATTGGTCTGGGGCAAGACAGATTTCGTTAACAATGTGAAACACAAGTACCAAGTGCAGCACCACATAAGTGACTTGACTCAAAAGCAGCCCAAGGTTTTCGTCACGGGTTTTCCCACTACTTGTACCGACGACTACACGAGTGTTTCACCTTCAACTAAGCGCGTGGTATCTCTAAATCTTGAAAAAAGGAAGGGAAGTGAGACCTCCGAAGGGGTTTTCAATGGTAAAATCTGGAGAGTTTTTGCTGGTTTTTTCTATTGAAATGTATAGTAACGTATGCTGTAATGAATGTCTGATAGTTTTTGAAGACACTCGACTAATTTCGACGTTCAAAGCACCCAAGACATTACATGGAAGTATTTATCTGGGAGAACGTGAAGGTGGCATCGCCTGGTCTTATGATGAAAAGACGATTGCATACGTTGCTGAAAGAAAAGTTGTCAAGTCTCCTGCTTTCTGGGAAAATGTAAACACTATCAATGAAAAAAAGGATGTGGAAGAAATGCCGCTTCCAGGTGCCAAGTTTGAATATGAAGATGATTGGGGTGAACAATACGAAGGAAAAAAAACTGCGTCGATTTTCTTGGCGACATTGGAAACAGGAAAGATTGAAGAGGTGAAGGGTGTACCAGCCAATTTAACGTGCGCCGATGTGGCTTTTGTGCCCGGTAACAACGAGCTAGTGTTTGCAGCAACTGAGACGGATAATCCGAAGCGACTTGGCATCATCTACTGCTACAATCGCCCAATTGCTCTGTATCACGTGGTGTTGAACAAGAAAGACCAAGCTAAGAATGTGGTGAAGAAGCTGGAGCTAATTCCCCAGGATGAGGAAAGCAAGACTATTGGGACAATGCGGAACCCGCGTTTCTCACCTGATGGCAAACAATTGGCGTTCCTTGCTACTCGAGATATCGTTACCCACGGAACGTGCAGTTTCTTGTGCGTAACGGAATGGGCAACGAAGCACACATCGACGGTGATTCCTATCAAGAATGAGCCTGATGCGTCTACTCGCGATGTCACCAAGGCTTTTAACGGACTATATACTGGTAAGCTGACTGAAAGAGCTTGGTCGCCTGATGGTAAGTACATATACGTGGTGACGCAAGTTGGGTCTCGTGTCTTGTGGAAATACGTCGATGTCGTCACGAAGAGCCTAATCTCTCCGGAGTATGTCGAAGGCGTGGGTGTTGCCATCGAATCAGTTCTCGACCGAAAGGGAGACCACTTCTTGGTGATGGTGTCGTCCCCCATACGCCCCGCTAGCGTCTTCCTCGTAAAGATTGATCCGACGACAGGAAAACACTTGGGCGCACCGATTGTTATTGATAATCAGCACGGAGATGCAAAGCACATTAAGCGCTGGGAAGTGTACTCCATTCCGGCTTCTGTATCTGATGGACCAGCTGCGGAGAAGAAGCTTCCCGACACTCCCGCAGTGTTAAAAGACTTGCTGCTTCCATCGGTCTCTAGCTCAAGTGACTACGAAGCAACTGTAATGCTGCCGAATAGATTCCCGCCAGCCGAAGGTTTTCCCGTAATCCTTGAGCTGCATGGTGGACCGCACAGTAACTCGTCTGTCATGTATCGAGACTTGTGTGAATTTTGGGCTGGTTTAGGTTTCGCAATCGTTACCGTGAATTATCGAGGAAGCACTGGATTCGGTATCAAAGCGCTAGAGTCCCTGATTGGAAAAGCTGGCAAACAGGATGTATACGACTGCCACTACGCATTACTATATCTGCTGGAGGAGAGTTCAAAACTAGGCCTTTTCTTGGACAAGTCCCGTGTTCATTGCTCTGGTGGCAGCCACGGCGGTTTTCTAGTCACGCACCTCATTGCGCAGTTCCCAGGATTTTACAAGTCCATGGTAACGCGAAATCCCGTGACCAATATTTCAAGCGTGTTCTACACTTCCGACATTCAAGATTGGGGTCTAGCATGTGTAGGCATCCAACGATTTGAATCAATCTGTACATCACAGAAGCTCCAGAACTCTAAGAAGGAGCTTCCAGTTCTGACTCCGGAAGCGCGTTTGGCCATCCTTAGCAAGCTGTGGCAGCACTCTCCTGTGAGCAACGACCTAAGTAAGGTGACTACACCTGCGCTTTTTGGACTGGGCGGTAAGGATAGGCGTGTGCCGCCCACCCAAGGCTTGGAATACCGTGCTACCATTGCAAGCTACGGAGTTCCCACGCAACTTCTCTGGTATCCTGATGACTCTCACCCGCTGGGGTCGGTGGAAGCCTTTGGCGATTTTTCAGTGAATTGGGGACTTTGGTTGCTGGAACACAATCCTAAATAAGCTGCTTAGTTGAAGCCAGCATCATTGACGTTTGGATGGTATCCACTGGAAAATCTTTCGGCTAGCATCCCTCTGCAACATAATGCACTTCAGGTACATGTAGTGTTATCTGAAAGATCCGAAGATTTAAACTTTTGGGAGAACGGAATGTGAACAAGTTGTAGCTTCTATTTGATAACTGTCTTCTGCTTGTCGACGCTCAACACAAACTTTCAGAAAATTGCAACGATAGTAGCAAATATCTTCTGGAACTAAACGCCGAGACATACGATTGCGATGAGTACAGGGCGTCACGACGTCGGTGATGGTCCACACCTTGGTTCCCTGCGCTATCAGTTTGTTCACACTCCAATCGTAATAGGAAAACACGACAGGTTCTTGAGGTCTACCAGCACAATTGTAGACGTCTCGCAGAAAGCAGGCACGGTAATAAGACGCACCTTTTGACCTTGTATTCCTGTTATCAGCAAAAAAATAAACGTTGCACCGTTCAGCACAACATTGAATCTCATTTAGTTCATACATTCAGAACGCCAGCTGTACCTTTGACAAGACGTGTGCTAAAGCGTGGCTGGTTTCCGGAAAAATACACGTGCGGACAAGTCTCAAAAATGAACGGATCCTCATTCGCCATAGGAAAACATGCCAAAATATCTGGAGCAGTCGGAGCAGCATGACGCCATTCAATACACCGCTGCAGGCAGTCAAGTGCTCGCTCCTGCTCTCGGTCTTCTTTATCCATTATCATTGTATCATTTCCATCCTCGTCTTCGTCACTAATCGGAAGTGTGCACTGCAAAATGCTTTGCAATGGCTGTCCCGCATCTCCAAAAAATTGCACGCCTCCCACTTGCGCTTCATATGGGTTCGTAACACATCGAAACGACTTAAAGTACGAACTACGTGGAAATAGACACGGGTGGAAACTCTGTTGCGGCAGAGTGTAATTACTTGGATCCGAAGCTCCCGGCATCAAGTCCACACACATCGCTGCCGCTAAGATGGACATCAATTCATCAGCATTTCTCAATGGTTTGCCTTCTAGTGCTAGTTGTTCCACTGATTTTCGTTTAATTGTCGGCACGTGAACAATTCCCTGTTCTTTTGCTTGAAGGACATTTCCTACTACTACCGTCCTTACAATTTTAGTCACCAACTCCTCATCTCCCAAACGTCCAGCTAAATAGTCTACAAGGACATGATTTCGAAGTGGCTGGTGGTCCGTATTACGCCCAAGTCCTAATCCTGAGACTAAAGCCACATACTCACTCTTCTGTCGCTCTGGGAGCGAGTATTGAGGTGGAATCGAAGGCACGTACACTTGGTCCACATAAAATTGTCCTCCTGTTCCGTCTCGTGGTACACGACCACGGACTGCAAGGACTACTCCTGTAACAAACGTAGCCACGTTGATCTCTCCCACAAGCTGCACACGTCCACTTTCATCTTCTAATACCAGCTCGTCATCTTTAGTAGCCAAGGGTTGCACTACTTGTTCAATAGGCGTAACACCCTCTTCACTTATTAACGCATCGAATAAATCTGGTTTATTTACCAATATCTTGAGCAAAGTCCCAATGACCACACATTCGTGATTGTCTGCTTTAAGATCAATCACTTTGGACAACACCGACACTTGGCCACTCGTTTGTTCCTGGACTTGAATAGTCACTACGTCTCGAAGCTGTTGCAATCGACTGACGTAAATGTGTGAAAACTGTTGCCCGTATGACTTTTGTTGAAGCACAAAGCGTTGGTATGTCGGTATATAGGCGACGGATTGGCGTTGGATTGGCGCCATTTTATTTGCTGTCTACCCCAAGAATTTATATTTAAAGTTGGTGTGAAAGACACGATTGCTTGTGATGATTCCGTGTGGTGCACATACTTTAAGAGTTTTCGCACTATGAAGGTACGCAATCATCCACCAACTCTTTTTGAACAGGCCATAGAAAAAACCTCATAATTTCTGCTACCGGCGATAACTTGTGGTCACGTTGAGTTTGTATTCAGCGCTGATACTGTCGATCCAGGGTTTGTCAAGTGAACTGCAAAGCTAAAAACTTATCGATATTTTTTGATATTTTTTTGGATGTCGTTGATAAATCATCTTCAACATTTAAAAGTACTTTTGGTGAGGCCGTCATTAGCTCTAGACATTAACTTGCACCGTGTGTTTGTAAAGAAATAAAGGTGAAAATCCTTAGCAAGTATAAGGGCCCTATCGAGACATAGTAGCGTACCAAAATGGCAATATGCTCTATAAAATCGTGCCTAAGATCTATTGACATAAATCAGATATATCTATCGGATCCCTAGGGCAGCACGTCATAAGTTAGAATTTTTGCGCAATTGCCGTGGTAGCAGCACCACAACCAAATGTTCTTTTACCCGATCGTAACAATATAATTCGCAATTGAGGATGCAAGGGAGTAGACTATTATAGAGCCAAAGTAACTTCGATGCTTACTTTTTAACAAACTTGTGATATCACAAAGCCTTTAACCCCTGCTTCGTAGCAATTTTACATACACACAGCTGCAAACTAAGACGAACATCGGTTTGTCTAGCAAAAATCTTACACATATTACACATGCACACATCTGTCGCGGCTCTCTTCAATTTATGGTTCGCCTGTTCAGGACACGTCTTCAGTAGATAATCTTATCAAATCAACATCTAGTCCGTCGCCTGATATTTCAATGTATCGATCGAGTCAGATGAACGTCTCCGAAAAGTAGAATGGATTAGGATTGCATGCAATTGGTCATAGGACGCTATGAATTCACGTCGGCACAAATGTTTCTCGGTGAAAGTTGCCTCGAGAAAACTCTAACAGTTACCAGCTCGCTTGGTGATTGTGGATCCTGAAAAGCGTGTGGTAGAGTAACGTTTTGTGTTGTTGACCATCACAATTGCATGGTCAGATGTCACCTTGGCATCCGGACAGGCGGTGGGAAAGGTGCGATAAGACATACGAACAACTGGTTAAGTCTACCATGGCGAGCTTTGTCGGTAGGTCAGTACACAAAGAGCACTAGAGAGCAAGCGACTCTCAATTCTCCAATATGTCGAACACAAAAGAAGTGACCCGCAGCATTGATAAGGTTTGTACGGGTAGTCGCTTACCGCTCTATCGCCGACACACGCTCAGTGGGAATTCGTCATTGGCTTCAGCGTCGGATTATGCCCCAATTTTGTGGAGGCCAGTGATGCCCACAAGCCGTCGATCAACACTTGTGTCGAGTCTAAACACGGAAGACGTCGGTAAATTTCGAACGACAATTGATGGCTCTATGAGGACAAAGAGGTTTATCTGTGACACATCTAGTCACCGTCATGGGGATAAGGCCGTCTTTACCCTGCACGATGTCGACGCCTTCAGTGTTCAACGAGCTAAGATAACTCGTCGTGTTAGCGAGACGCGCTATACCCGGTTCCGCAACTTCTTTATACGTTGCGAATCCGAAATGGCAATGGAAATTCAAGCGAGGCGTGCTTTCTCTTTGGAGCAGTTGAATGCTTGGGTGAACTATATCGTAAGTCCCACGGTGTTGCATTGTATCGTAGGAATAGGAGATAGTCAGCAGGAACTATTGGACTTGCTCATGGTGTCGGCAGCAATTTCAAAATATGGAGAGAGCGAATTGATGGCTAGAGACAGAAGGGGTGAACTTCATGCCGTGCAAAACATAAAGCTTTGCACTTACGATGAGAGTTTGCAAATTTACGAGCAAAGGGAAAGTGAGCAAATGAATGGCAACTCCGTGCTGATGAAATTTGTAGTACGCATTAATGATCAGTTGTCGGAGGATCGACGCGTTGGTGGCGTAATACTTCGTGAGATTTTGACTCACGCTAGCACTATGAACGTTGCTGTCACCAAGAGGATACAAAGCGATTCTAGTCTTTGTCTGACGAAAGAGGAAGAGCGGTTGAAACAAATAGTGGTTCGAGTACAGTCTCACTGGTTCCAGGACGCCATGCTCAAGGTAAACGGACGATATTTGTACGATGCTCTCCGTCAAGTTCTCAGAAATGCGAACACCTCACTGTGGGATGAATCGAAGGACAAACCTGAGCTGAACCGAGAACGCGTTCAAAGGAGAGAGCAACCGAGAGCTGAGGTCATGCAGGTTGAGAGGAGAGCTACCTTGGGTCGTCAAACTCGACCAAGATTACCGCCTCCACCCCCGCCACTTGTAGAAGCAATAACCAGGAATGCATCGACGACAAAGCATTCGCTTACCAAGGTCATGTTGTTTCCATCGCCGCCTAACGCATCGACCAAGGCTGGCTTCACAGTCTACAATCGATTTTCCTCGCTTCCTGCCGAAGTAGTTCACGAGCGAGAAAGCACCACTATTGTTGGTACGAGCAAGACCCACAAAAGGCCCCAGCCGCTTGGAGCAACACGTAATTTGCATTCACGTGGCCTTCCTCCTAGGCGTCCTCAAAGCATGGAAATCGACCCAATCGTTCGCGCACCGAGTGCGTTCATCATCAAAGCTCGAAAGTAAGAGTGATTAGTATTTATGTCGTGGAGTTGCGAGAGACCAGGAGGACAGTAGGCTTAGAAAAGAACCAACTAAGTAATCTACCACAATCATGTCTTATTGGCGTCAACATTGTGGTAAAGGTAGCTTGTAGCATCAAGCTACTACACGCAGCATGTCGGGGGATAATATAAACTACAAACTCCAATGGCAACGGTAACAAATGAAAACCAAGAAGCTCACAAGACTGTTAACAAAGCTTACGTTGATTAAAGAATGTTGCGCTTACCTTCCGTCATGACCAGCGCTTACTCGTCACCTTAAACCTTAACGGCTACAACTGGTCCGGTGTGACCGGATACGGCAAAGGTATGATCGATACCTTATGAATGTCTCGGGGAAGAGCCTTCCTCATATCTGTAAGATACAAGTGCTAATGGTCAGAGCTTCCAGCTGCAAATTTTTACATATAGCTTCACAACATCGTACCAAATGCGTCCTCCCCGTCTTCATCTCTTGAGTAATATCCCAACACTCGCCTATAGACCGAGTACCCAAACTTTTCATACATCTTGATGGCAAGCGAGTTGGAAACTCGTACAAATAGATCCACATAGTAGCCATTGTAGAGTTCTACCGACACATTTTCCAAGTAGTCCATGAGTTTCTTTGCAAGACCAAGACGCCGAAACTCCGGAGCAACTGTCACTGCCGTTACGTGTCCGTGCCAATTTAACTCTTGTCCTTCAGCCTTGCCCATGACTGCAGGTAGAACAATAATACAAAAGGTAGAACGATAGTGTATTTCTAACCCAAACAACGACGTATAGGGAAAAGAAGACCCAATTTTAATAAATTAAACATACTGTAACCCATAATAGTATTGTTAGGATCCTCCTGTACCAGAAAATAGTCGGGCCATTTAGACAAGTACTGAAGGTAGAACGACATATTGTACTAAATGGATAAACAAGCAGAACTCTGTCAATTCTTGTCATAATGGAGAACAACTTGCGTGACAATAAAGCTGAGAACCTCACCGTCTCGGTAAGCACGTCAAGGTTGACGTTATTAAAACGAAACAGATCATCGCAGCAAAATTTGCGTGTAGACGTCATAGTGCTTGAGTGATATCGCTCTTGACTTGGTTTTCGGTAAATACCGTTTGTACCGATCGGTATATTTTATCATTATCCAGATTTTAATTTTTGGATTTTTTATTAGTCTTCGTGCGTGGCACTGACAATTTCGATGGACGACGACGAATTAATTGTGCTAAGGTCGTACTACCTCCTCAACGCCTCACCTGATCAAGATCTTGGCGTACAAGTACGTAAGTCGAATATTCCAGGAGCTGGGAAGGGTTTATTTGCAACAAAACGACATGTTCAAGGTTCGATTATCTGCGAATACACTGGGGTAGTTTTATACAACCAGGAGAATGCGTGGAAGCTCAAGGACAAGTCATATCTTATGAAATTGGGCGATGGCAAATACATTGATGCACTGCATTGTCCACAGGTCTTAGCTCGGTACATTAATGACTGTAGAGGACATTTTGGAGGTTTTAACGTACACTTTGAGAAACGTCCACAAGACGACAAGGCCGATGTCATTGCAATGAGAGACATTGAACCAGGAGAAGAGCTGTACGTCAACTACGGTCGTCTGTACTGGCTCGCATATAACATGATGCACCCGAGCAATCCCGTGCGGTAAGAAGTGAAATAAGTGAAAATACAATACCGTATCACTTGATTCTGTATTGTGTTAACGAGATGAATGGAACGGTTGGCATTGACGCTAGTAATCACGTAGAGAGGCTGATATGGCAGCTGCTACATCCTCTTCGCTTGTACTGCGAGGCTTGAAAGTAGTGCCGTCTTGGTGTCCAGTACTGCTCAAGCTACTCGACAGCGACAGCTTTGTGCTCTGTACGGACACAACAAAGGAGATCCGCAAAGGTTAATAATCAATGTTCATGACCACCTGTTATAGGAGTTCCAGATATATCGTACCTGTCGTGCAAGCTCGTCGTCCTAGGCATCATGCTCGTTTACTGCCATCTCCTTTTCTTCATCCTTAGTCTTGCGCATGGCAGCAATCTCAGCCTCAACGATCTCCAAGAAGATACGCTCGCGGTTAAAGTCGTAGTCAAACACGTCCTACCGAAAACCATCACTTAATCATCGAAGTTTTACAGTTTCTTTCCTTGTAGAAATCGATTGTACCCTTTGCAGCAGATTTGGACTGAGCGAGGGCATCATGGGGGTAGCCGTAAACGTCGAATTAAGGGTGATGTTAGTATACTGCAAGCAAATAAATATCGGTAGTCAGCTACTGCATGAAACAAGAGAAAGTCACACATTTATAAGTAGTCAATGCACCTTTAGAATAGATGGAAGACCACTGGTGTGGACTGAGGATAATGTCATTCTTTTAAAGATACTTTAAAGCCAGTTTCTTTCTTTTCAAGTCTTTGGATTATCGCTACTACGGGATTATAAGAGATGAATGTGAGCACTTGGCAATAAGATCATTCATCATACATCACAAACCAAAGGAATTTCTTTTCGTGTCAATCGGATAAACCAGTTTTGCATTCAAAATATCGAGTTACAATTTTACATAACGTCGGACCCGAGAATCACTGTACCCTGTTATAATCGTAAGATCGACATGTGCAGGTACTCTAGCATTTAATACCCATACGACCTGGACACCACTTCATCAACCCTGTGTAACTTTCGACGTCAACGTCGTTTAATGCCTTGCAAATCGAGTATATCTATGTCTTTGCCTCTTTTCCAGGGCCACCCATTGCCTAAGCGGCCTTTCACATCCTCCTGACCATCTTTGTCTTCTGACAGAGTGTCCATCCACGTGTTCTTCGTGTCAATTGATGCCACTGCTGCTCCATGTGTGGAGATAACCCACTCGTCCTTCTTCCAGTCGCGCTCGCTCACTGCACTGCGTTGTTGCGCCAGCGCCGTATCCACCAGATCGCTCACCATTTTCATTTGTTCACGTGCTTGCCGTAGCAACAGAGACACGTCCTCCTCGTGTCTGTAGGCGTCGAAGCCCGCGCGTATTTGACGCCGCACGTCCAGTCGCACGTCGACAGCCAACGGCTTTGTGATGCGAAGAAACTCTCGGTACTGCTTCAATACTGCCGTCCGGTTTATAAAATATTTCAGAGACTTGATCTCGGGCCCCAGCACCCGCTTCGTTTTGCCCATGACCTAGAGCAATTAGCACTTCGAATTATCGGCTAATTGAGCTCGTGAAAATTGGGTTTTGACTCAGGAATTAGTCAACTATCACTACTTTACATAACATTTTTCGATAAAAATTTATAGATATGTTTGACATTAGGGTAGGATGACGCGTTTCGCTAAACCATATCGAAGCGCGTCATCCTAACCTAATGTTACGTTTTACATTCCATTAACATATCTGCGTGATAAAACATCATGTTTCAAAAGTGCATTCATCGACATGAACAGCCATTCGACATTGTAGCAAGTATAAATTCGTATTGCACCGCGGTATCTTCAGTATATGCTGTCGAGCAGTATCTTCTCTTGAGGAGAGGCGTCGCTTACTGACAGGTGACCCAGCAGGTTCGCGAAGGTTTGGGCAATTATCACTATTACAAACTCAAGCAAAAGCACCGTCCAAGGTGCAGAAACATTATCTAGAAAATTTCGACTTGCGTAGCCTCTAGTTGCTGCCAGCACTCGCGAACCGAGCTGTCATAACCATAAACGCGTACGGAGTAAACGACATTTATGATGGCGTCAGCGGTGTTAAGCATCCGGGGGCAGCAAAACAGTAGGAAGTACACCTCGATGATGAAGTAATTCTTGACACGCATCTCGTTTGGCTTCAACAGAAAGCTGGGCAGTCGCATGTCTGATGTACGATGTAACCCGAAAGCAAGATGCACTGATCGACGTAAAAAGAGTCATGGAGAGACGTCGTGTGCCTTCGAGTAATAGCACGTCTGAGCTCACATATATACCATGATTGCCTTTGAGTGGCTATACAGCGAAGACACCAATGGGTAAAAACTGATGCTGAATCGTACATGTTATAAGCATAGTTGTCTGGAACACACTTAAGGCTTGCTCTTCGACGTTGTTTGATGATGATTCAAAGTAATACTCAACATAGCGGCACCGAACCTAGAACAACCGCGATAAAGGCGTTGCCATCCAACGAAAGCCCAAAAGCGACCTCGAGGAATCCGCTCTCGTCTTGTCCAGATTAACACGCGAGTTCCCATACCGTTCACGACAAAAGACTTGCACAGCAACGTGATGGAGGTACATAACGGGAGTTTTCAGCAATAATTACGATTGCCAGCCCCTCCATACAAACAGAAGCGCCATGGTGCATGCCAGACCAAGTGGCCGACACGACACCTGTAGGAACGTGTACGACACGATACTTGAGCAGTGGCAGACCCTTTTGATAACAGCTTGCATGATTAATCCAGGAAGTTTAAATGTCGGTCCGCTCTAACTTGGGCACGTGCAAGTGCTGCGAGCGGGAAAACTGCCGAGTTTGGCCTTACGACGGACCTTCTTCCGTTTCATTTAAACCTTGCGGCGTCAGACGTTGGTCCTGCTTCTATGATCGGCATCGTTGAAGCATTTTGCAGTAAATGTCCATGACTGAGTTGAACGTTTGGGTTTGCAGTGTAAGACCAGACCGACTCCACAAATGAGGAAAATAGGAATTTGAAAGCGTTTCGGTTTTTGTTGTAGATGTAAAAGCGTATCTGTATTGAATACTTGAAGTCGTCTTCTCGCCCACGGCTCCACGGGCTGGAATAGTTGAGGCAATGATAAGCCGATGGCCCTTCGCTGGCTTCTCTTTCTCTATAACAGTCTTGGCGACATTCTTTTCACAAACCTAATTGTCATGCCCTCATCCTGATGGATGGTGTTTGCGAGATGGCAGGCACATACCACTATCTCGTAAGAAGGCTTGGACGCAAACTTGACCCATGTTTGTATAGAACATACTTTCTACTTACCGTTATGACATGTAGCTGCGGATACGCTAAGAATACAAGCGCCGAGTTCCGTGTTCGCTGTTATAAAATCACCAGCTCGTGTTGATCAGTTTCGGGCACATCAGTCATATGGACGATAATTCAATAAACTCCGTTGTTGGCTTGACTGAGGACACCTAGAGCGAGGTTGCCGCCAATGTGTGCTTGCTGTAATCAAATTGCTTGTAAGTGTCCAAGGGACTTGTTCAGTACCTCAAGTTCATTTCTTAGCGTAAGCTGAGCCAGTATTTGCATTACTCTACTCCGTGCAAATAGGGACTTGCCATCAGTAGTCCCTGTTTAGAAGACGTGTGGTTTGTATCCAGCTCCGTGCTTGGGAGTCGAATACGGCAATCCAGTATATCAACTCGCTGAACGTGTAAATCAGCAGCGTGCAGGCGTGTAGTAGAGAATACTTTATTGATAGCATAATTCCCTTGTCATCACTACTTTGATCCACCTGTTAGTCGCTCTAAAATTCTCTCCTGGGTGTACAAGTGTGTAAGAATCGGGATGTCTTTATAATATCTAGAAGTTATTCCTGGTTGACTCGTAAACTTGATCCATGAAAAAAAGTCGGCAACGATTGTCACTCCGTTTGATTTTGCGGGGAGATTCACGCTGTTATACAACTTTTTTCACGACGGAGTAAAGTTTTCGCTTCTAGAATCAGCGTAGTCTTTACGTTGCCGATGCGTTGCGATGCATACTTTTAGTCGAACTGTTCTCACAATTAGCGCCAACAAATTTTTGTGCCGAGTTGTGGTAGCCAACGCATCATGCGGCAAATGATAATTTTTTTTCTAGCAGCCGTTGTCCAAAACCGATGCTTCAATCCTCTCATATCTGAGATCCGCCTTCTCTGACTCAGTATTAATTGTAAAGAAAAACGATAGGCCATCGACTAGGCGGCTCAATGCTGAGCTGGTCGACGAGATCTTACCGAAACGTACACAATGGAAATTGGCAATTGCATGGCGTGGATTTTATCTCATGTGACGAGGTAACTTTGCAACTTTTTTCCGCCTTTTTCGAGAACAAGCATGTCCCGTTTTTGATACTAGTGTCTCCGGGGAAAAGACACGTCAATTGCTTCTTTACTAAACAAGTTTATAGGGAGGGGCGACGTTGCCCTGCCCATCCGGGAAGTGCGGGTCGGTGCCAGAGCAGCGTCCAGTTTGTGACGGGCGCTTTTCCCACAAAAAGAGCCCTTGAGGGGAGGGAAGACACGCCTCGTCTCTCGATACCTAGTTACAATCAGGATAGGCGACATTGGTCCTCATCGTCAGACACATACTGATCGTTATATATCGCGCTACCCCTTCAACCCCAAGCACACTTCAGTTTACATGCACGTCATTCTGCTTCTTGCCACGTCCTAAACAAGTTGTAAAATCCTCATTTACATTCAAATGGTCTCAAGCACTAAAGAAGAAAGAAACACCAGTAATAGCAATCACATGCCGTCTCCACCCTACATGGAAATCCAATCGCCTTGCTCCATCGATAATCTTCCTGCTGTTAATATGCGTCGTCGCAAGATCGAGATCGAGATTGTCGAGGGTGCTCGCAAAGGTCCAACGTGGCAATTCCCTGGCTCAGGTTCCTCGGAACATGTACAGGTACCTCAGACTGAACTGATTGAGATTCAAAAGGAACTGGATCAGCCTAAGAAGTTGCTTGGAGAGCTGCCGGCTACTGCCATCTCTGGTAATGATATTTTGTCTAGTGTCCTGTACTCGGCATCATCTGTGGCTTTAAAATCGGGCAAACTCATGCCAATTCCATTGCTTATGGTGTCCATTTTGCTCTACTTCTTTCGATTTATCTACGAAGAAGTAGTTACTGCCATCCCCATGAACGGTGGTACCTACAACGCTTTGTTAAATACGACATCGAAACGTACAGCAGCTGTAGCCGCCTGTCTCAGCATCTTGTCGTACGTGGCCACTGGAGTGGTATCAGCCACGTCAGGTGTGCGGTATCTGAACAACCAAGTGGACATTCCGATTGTCGGATCTGCAATTATTTTGTTGGGAGCGTTTGCACTTTTGGCGGTGATGGGAATCACAGAAAGCTCTCGCGTGGCTGTTGCAATCTTCTTGCACCACATTGTTGTCCTCTTGATCCTCTTTGTGTCGTGCGTAGTCTATTGGTTCAATCACTCGCACGTTTTTAGCGACAACATGCATGCCGGATATCCCAAAGTGGACTTTGCTGGATCAATGCTTGACGGTAACATCTTTACGGCAGTTTTCTTCGGCTTTGGTGCATCAATGTTGGGTATTACCGGTTTTGAGTCGTCATCCAACTATGTAGAGGAACAAGCTCCGGGCGTCTTTCGCAAGACGCTTCGCAACATGTGGGCACTCGTCACATTTTTCAACATTGGCCTTAGTATCGGTATTCTTGCTGTGCTGCCCCTGGAAGGTGATAATGGAATTTACAAAAGCTCGGATGACCTTCTTGCGATGGTAAGCCGAGAAAGTGTGGGGAGCTGGTTCGAGACGTGGATTAGTATTGATGCCTTCATTGTGCTGAGTGGCGCCGTCCTGACCTCGTATGTCGGAATATGCGGTCTTGTTCGCCGCCTGTCAACGGACCGTGTGCTGCCCGCATTCTTGGCGAAGACAAACAAGGCGCGCGGTACCAACCACTACATCATCGGCATCTACTTCTTGTTGTCGGCAAGTCTCGTGCTCATTCTCAACGCCGATGCTAGTACTGTAAACGGTGTGTACACGTACTCCTTTCTTGGACTAATGGCGATGTTTTCGTGCGCCTGTATGTTGCTGAAGGGCAAGCGTTCCGAAATTCCCCGAGACATCCACGCACCGTGGGCTACAGTAATTATTGGATTTCTATTAATTCTCGTGGCCATTTTCGCAAACCTCCTGGGTGATCCCAAGGTCCTCATGTACTTCGCTATCTATTTCATCGTCGTGATTTTTGCAATGTTTGTCATGTTCGAGCGTGTCACAATTTTACGATATGCTTTGGTTATGTTGAAGAAAATGGCTCCCTCAAGCTACAGCAAAGCTGGTGGAGTTAGTCTTACGGTGAATCCTTCGTCAGAAGTGGAGCACACCGGAGCTCGGGGTGGCCGCACCATCGCTCGCACCATTCTCAGCATTCGTAACGCCCCCATTGTCTTCTTCTGCAAGGTTCCAGATCTCACGATCATCAACAAGGCCATCATGTATGTGCGCCGCAACGAGCAGACGCATACACTGCGTATTGTCCACGTATTCGAAGACGAAGAGGCAAGTGCCCCTGTGCTCGCGTCGCTTCGTGAGATGGCAGCGCTGTTCGACAGCATGTACCCAAAGATCCGTGTAGACTTTGTTTCGGTGCACGGCGAGTTTGGTCCGGCAATAATCGAGTGGCTATCACGGACGATGAACGTGCCTCGCAACATGATGTTCATCACCCAACCTGATTTAATATCGGCCGAGCGCGTATCGTCAGCCGGCGTTCGTGTCATAACGGCATGATGTCAATAGCAATGAAATAGTTAGTCAATGCAAGGAAAAATTTCCTTTCGTAAGTAATCTTAGCCTCAAAGTCAGTTGCGTTGATCTTACTGTTTGCTAGTATACATTCTTAGAAAATGTGCAAGAAGCTCAGGCGCTAAACAAAAAATCGCATTAACGCTATGTGGCAGCCGAGGAACATCTTTCACTCAGCATTATTCATGGCTGATGGCAAATAAAACGATGCCGTCTTATAAACAACAACATGTTCTTTGCAACTTCAGTAGTCCTAGTTGTGCGTGCATGAAAATCTGTAAAAGCATTATAAGTCTTTAAACAATTCACAAAGGTGAGGATATCCACAGAATGCAAGCATCGACGCATAAAGCCGAACAAAATCAACGTGAACACATTTCTGTCTGGCAGAAATGTAACAGAATCCACCTCCAGCTCTTCATGGTAGAAGATGTGCGAGTACTGGAAACCGTAGACACTCCACGCCACTCACCACAAATAGTGGTGAAGAAAATAAATTGCTGCTACTTGAAAGCTTCGGCAGTACCATACTTGACGATAGTGCGATAGCACGATATATAACAATCGCGCAGCCAGCGATAGACAATTCAACTTGGTTGTTGAGATAACGCACACTCAACGCGAACGACACGACACCTATTTCCACATTACTACAATACTCAAACACGCTGCCACCGCGTAGTACGCTTAGAGGTCGTTTTGAGTAGGTGCCGCCATTCATAAGTATTGCGATGACGACAGCCTCGGTGATGAACCGACGGCGACGTTATGAGTAGTGGAATGACATGATCTTGCCGGAGTCGGTTGCAGTGGACGATGCACGCTGGACGAGATGTCGTTTCACAGATTGCCAGCTCGCCTAATATTTCCGAAGCTCATTCAGCTTATGTTGAGTGAGCCAAAAAAATTGAGATCTCCACGTTATCCATGTTTTGAAGCCCGAGGACTGTTACAGTCCCATTGATCGTTGTCCATTACGTCGATCTTCCGCGTCGAAGGCTAGACACGTCAGCTGGCCATCGATTGCAACTTTAGGAAAGAAGTCACCTTGATAAGCAGATGCCGGCGACGGTGTCCATCAGAGCTCAATTAATTCCTTTTCGAAACTTTGCTGTGAAGATAGACGAATTTGAAGCCGACTAGACTCTACCAAGGCTGGAGTACTATAATGAACCTATCGAGAGTACATTTGTGGAGTTAAAATTGCAAAATGCCTGTTCTTCGTAGCCCGTTGTCAGACATTATCCCATGACAAGCTCGCCTGAGAGGAAGCGTGGCTGTGTGATGAACATAATGTTAAAAGGAACTTGCATCTTCCTGGAGACCGCCGATCATCACGAGGCTGACCTTAATATGCACCGCCACGAATTCAACTCGAGTCTTCGGGCACATACACGCCATTTCACGAGATCTCTTTTTATGGTTATAAACATAAATTTACGCTGGCTCATTTTGCCGCTCGTATATGATGGCTTTGTTGAGAATCATTAGTTCTGATGCTTAGAGAAGAACTCAACTGGTGCGCTGCGGATGCTCTCAATGGTGCAAGCAATGGTATACGCGCCACGAGCACCTGTTGTTCCTCAGACTATTGTCAAGCTCCAATCCAATTTCTGCAGGTTTATCATGTCCGGACAACGCCAGTTTTTGTGGCAAATAGCAAAAATCCTTATCATAAATGTCATGGACTTTGACAGTACCGACTACTGAAAGGCCCTGTCAGCTCGGTAATCCATGTCACGCCAAGTAAGAGACAGGATGTTCGTCTCATCACCTGGGGAATCCATCGCCACGAAGTGTTGTTGCGGTCAAGATTTATGAAGATCCAATTGATGTGCTGGGTGAGCTCTGTGGCGCCAATGAAAGAGAGCGTGTCCTCCGACTACTTCTAACATTCGTACAAACATGACAAGAATGTTAACATGGGGGACCTTCGTAGAATGTACAAATGTAATAGTTGCATTATATCATCAAATTGTTATGATTACAGGTACGCTAAAAAGATCGAATGCCATCTAAAAAGCTGTACCTTCACTGATAACTGCTACTTATAGTAATATACTTTCTTAGCTAATACATGCCTCCAGTCTCAAGGTATCAGTTTAGGTGAGGCTTTCTGTATAATATGTACATAAAGCAAGTCTTTTTCCAATGAACTATATGGGAGTGATAGACGAACATGCAAGTAACTTATTGGAGAAATAGATTGCCGCACACATGTAAAGAAGGTAAAGAAAACAAAGTCGGTGGATAAAAGTCTGTAATCTTACAACTTATTGATGGGAGACCTGTGTTGACCAAGTGACCTCAAGGTTGGTGTTTGTTTTTTCTATCTCGTTCAGTCAATGCACTGTTTGAGCATCTGCAACAAGTTCACGATCCTTTTGCTCCCACGAGTCGCTTCAAGCTTGCTATTGAAATGCGCTTCTGAGGCAATTGCAACACTTTCTGCTTTTGGTAATAATTGTAAGAGCTCACGATCATTCACTTCTATTCCGGGTGTATTCGTGCTTACCAGCCATTGTACGAAAGGTTAGACATCAAACTAAACGCAGCTTTAGCCCTTTTCTCCGCTTTGAGTAGAGCCAGAGGTATTCAGTCTAAACATGTTTATTAGTTGTGTGCTTCCTCTTGGTTATCAAATACAGAGAGGGGATCTGTGGAATGAGGAAGTAAATGTAAGTAATTAGCAGCCAATCGATTCAAGCTGGAAGAAACAACCTAGAAAGTTCTTCTGTAGGCCTTTTATTTCTAAGCCCCAACAGCTGCTAGTGGTACGGACCGGTCGTTCACTCTGGTCACATCAGCACAACGCTTGAGCGTCTACAAGTTTCATATGTTAGGCCCTGATCGCGAATGAACCGGATGGAAAATATTATTTATCTATTTGATTTGTCATGATTTCTATGTTGACGAAGCTGATCCTATGCTACTATCAATGTCAGACCAGCATCATGTGGTCGATGTGTTGACTTCTCATTACTCATTCTACCAATTCACAAACAAACGCATTTTTAGGCAAGTAGCAAGTCATGTCGCGTCTAAATTGTTTCCTTCTTGTCGTCTTCGCAGCCTTCTTTGCTTTTGCAACTGGATTACAGAATGACACGGTAATCTCTTGGCCATCTTTGCTGTTCCGTTTCTCTATAAAGCGCATTGCCACGCAAGTCCACGGTCAATCCAAATTTTCCGTGCGTGCGAACCCCGTCGTGTCATCGGGTGATACCACTAGCGTGCTCTATGACGCCTATGCCGTCTTTGAGGATGATAATAGTATCTACAAGTACTCGCTTGTGGATGGAGCAACGTATGTTTCTCGCAGTTTTCGGACTGGAGGTGGCAAATCGGAAGTGGAATGCTCGGATGCTGATATTTTATTATCAGTCAATTCAATAGTGAAAGCACTGGGTACCGCAAAGGCTGTTTCAACCATCACAACAAGCGATGGTAGCGCAATCTCGTGCTCGGTCGGCAAGTCTTTCCAAATTTCGGTCAATGGCATTAAATTTGGAGTGTGTTCTTACGGTTCTTCAGGTTTTACAATCTTTGGAAGTGATTTGGATGTCAAGGTGGAGTATATAAAAAATCATCTGCCGATTTGGGCGCCAAAACTTGATATAAAGACGAAGAAGGGTTGTAAGAAGATGGCGTCACCGAATACTGTTACGTCAATCGGAAGGTCTTTCTTGACTGGAGAGTCTATTCAAGACGAAGAGAGAATACTGGGGGATGTGGTGGATGTGCTTTTGAGGGGCTCGTGCACGTGCAAGTCAACGCCGCGTCCGTGCATTTTTATCCATGGTCTCGGCGTTCTTAGTGAGAAGGAGAAGAATCTCGACACATATGACAAGTACTGGGGAAACTTAACAGACCATACACCATGCTGCTCGACGACTCAGTACGCCATGCTCAACACAGTGAACAATTCTTGGACTGACCATTTTCAACAGCAGAAAGTCTGCGATCGCGTGTTGGCAGCGAGCCAAACCAGCAAAGGATCCACTATTTCTGATACTATTATTATTACGCACTCAATGGGTGGTCTCATGGTAGCTGGTGCGATCGCTAACAAGAAATGTAAGCTCGCTTCAAGCGCCACATGGGTCGCCATTGCATCGCCTATGTTAGGAAGTATGGCTGCAGAGTACTTTGAAGAATCTTGCAATCATGAAACCAATTTTTTTATGGCAGAATTCGTTGAATCGACAAAGTTGTGCCCCCCGGACGACGGGATCAAGTCTCTTGCGTATCAATACGACAGCTACAGTACCCCTGCCTTGGATAAAATGTACCATTTTGCACAGGAGGCATACCGGAAGAATGTACACGCAGTGATGTGTAGTAACTCTTACTCTGGAATCTTTTCATCGTACCAGCCCGGCTTCTGGATCCTGGGGAAAACCATTCCACACAAATCTAAGCAAAATGACGGTATGGTAGAATTTCACAGCTGTGCTGGAGGCTTCTTAGAAACCAAGTTTGGCGACGACTTTCGTAAACCCTTTTACGTATCAAAGCTTAACCACAACGACCTTGCATTTAGAGCAGGCGATGCTCTTCTGGATGAAGCAAAGATGCCAGTGAAATGGTTCGAGTGCTTATTATAGGTGCTTAAACAGAGTAGATTAACAAGAGTCATGTTTCGAGTATTACAGAACGTCTATTATAGCTATTTATCACTAATAAGATATCTAGGTGGTAACTCATCTTAGGTCTCCACCCGTCGTTCTGACGGATAGGTGCGCGCGGACAAAATATATAGATTTAATTATATGAAAAGGTTCGAATGTTGGTGTGTCAATCAACTTTTTGGATGCTACTTTCAGCCTGTAACGAGGTTACACGGCGATACCCATAACTTAGTAGAGATTATAACTTGTCGGATTATTTTTATTGTACATAGAAGAACTTGGATAATAAATAGCGTGCCTGGGGCAACCAGACCATCCCCACTTCCCTCTTAAACAAACAGGCTTCGGCCCCAAATTCAAAATGCCAACAAAGCTTAAGTCCCAGGCTCTTTGGTCAATTCGACCCGTGCCTAGAGATGTGAGGCATGTCTTCAGCTTGTTTTCTCTGTGCTAATAATGAAGGCTATATGTAATTTACAAAGTTTAACAGTGTCTTGTCTGTAGATGTACCTGGACAGTTGAAGATGTCGCAAAACCGGCTTACCAATATAAAGCGTCCTCAAAATTGCAAGTACAAGAAGGAGAATTCAGGATATATCTAAGACGGCACTGGATAAATGAGCAAATAAGAAATTTCAGCCTTGCCAAATCGCTGTCACAGGCATCGATCAGCAAGATGATCCGAAAGCGATCTAATCTGGAGACCCTGAATCCAAGCAGTCTAAATGCGAAGCGCCAGTGGCTAATTTAACATCCTATACTGGAAGAAGCTTTGGCTCTTTGAGTCCTGCAGTGTTAACACCACAAGGTGATTATTACTGGGGAACTCATTGCGCAAAGGCCCAGCGACTTGCCCAATCGCTTGGAATTCTAGACGAAGCCTTTAATTTCTCGCACGGATGGCTTCAAAAAATCCAACAACGTCACAAGCTCAGCGCTATCGCATCCACGTTGAAAGCGGTTCGGTGGACGTGGCGGCTCTTAATGAAGCTCTGCCTGATCTGAAGAAGGTCATTGCCGAGTACGCTCAGTGTGATATTTACAACATGGATGAAATCGGTAACTTTTCCTGTCTGATTATTATCACCTGTAATAGAGTATAATTAAAAATACTTTTTATTCCTGGACTATTCTACAGCATTACATCTGACAGGACTTTTGCTCATCAAGAGCTTGAAGAACACAAGAAAAACAAAGTAAGTAGATTTCTAAAGGGGCTAATTTTTATCTATTAACACAGTGTATGTGCTGACATCATTTGCAGTCGCGACTTCTATTGCGTTTACTGAATATGCCGTTGGATCTGACAATTTGCAGCCTGTCTTTATCGTAAGAGCCAAGAAACTCCGGTGTTTTGACAAGAAGTGAGGTCAAGCACTTGGTTTTTCTTACCGAAATAACACAAATGCTTGTATGACGGGCTTGATCTTCCAGGAATGGCTTGCAAATGTGGACAAAACAATGAAGGTGCATGGTCAGCTAAAATAAATGACTTCTATCCTCAATTGATTTTAATATCATATTCTCATTAGAGCAAAAACAAAAATCTTCTTTTCCTCGATGATGCTTCGTCGCATATCAAAGATAGCCTGGAATTCACAAGTGTGCGCTACAGCTGCTTCCCCCAAATACAATATCCAAGATTCAGCCGATGGATGCCGGCATCATCGCAGCATTTAAGCGGCGGTATTGACGCTACCATCTGCATAACGCGATCGATTGTGACGAGCGTGGGGAGGCCGAAATCATATACAAAGCAAACCAAATTACTGCCATGCGCTGGTCGGTGGCTGCCTGGAACGAGATCTCGGCCATTACCATTGCCAACTGCTTCAATCCCAAGAGGCTGTTTTCAAATCTTACCGTCAATTCAACTGCTGTAGATGTATCGAGAGACAGTGATGGCGCGAAGTAAGTTAAAAAGAAAAAACTTGAGGGAGAGCAGGATCTGAGAGACCAGCTGCGTGTCCGGGATCCCATGCCGATTTCGGAGCTTATAATCCCATCGATGAAAATGAGACTGCTCATCCGGAGCTGACCGAGAACGAGATCCTGGAAGAGATTAAGGAGGCACAGGAGGAGAGATAACACAGTGATGACGTGGCCATGTCGTAGACAAGTTCACCCGAACCTATAAGATCAATCTCCTTCGTGATACGTGCTCCCTGCTCGGTGTAGACGGGCACTTCTATGAAGCTGCCTCGTACTACGAGCACACACCTTATGCACAAGCGAGGAAGCGGTTATACCGTCTTACCTTCGCGTGCGAGGGTGGTTGGGAGGTTGGTCGACTGCTTAAGCAGTCGTACCACCAGTTGCCTTTCGCTTAAGCGAGAGTGCAACGAACTTCTTAACACTTAGAACACCGACGTCACGCAGAAGTCTTTCAACTTCTCGTGCGTGGTGTGTCTGTTTAAGGAAATTCAAGACTGAGATATATTTAATTAATTATAACTAAATATATGTTTAACTACTGATTGGCTATATATATATATATATATATCGGATACGCGACTCTTTAGAAGCGTATCCTGTCGCATGATCTTAAATCTAGATTTAAGATCGCAACTGACGTCCTTCGGAGACGTCGTGATGCCTAGCTTCAACTAGCGTCATCCCTTCTCATGTGAATCCATCAATGGATATCACATTCACGAGGGTGGATCACATTTGTGTGTCGCACCCAAGTGACTGGTCAAAAGTAATCATGGATACTTTTAGACCAAACATTAAGTATATTACTTAATGTTTACGTGTAACTAGGTACCCTGTTACACCATCTCCCATTTAGAACGATGTTTACATTTTATAAAACATCGCCTAAGAGACAGAGAGACTGGCGAGCCGTTTATAAACGCGCCGCTTTAGTCTGCTCAGTACTCATGCCACCGAAACGTGGTAAGGCTGATGGGTCGCCTGCAAAGGCACCCATGCAGTCCAGCACTAAGCGCACGCGCCGCGATTTATCGCAGCCGTCGAAAAGTGCGTCAGGCACTGGGGTGAATCTTCCATCTCACGATAATGTGGATGAAGATCCATCTCTCATTGTTGACTACACCACTGTCATCACCCCAAAGTGGCGATGAGCATAGTGCATTGATGGGACATATGTCCCCATCATTTGAGGCACCCGTCCTTGAGGAAGCATCTATGCTTCCTACAAGCGAAGGTAACGCCTCGTCGTCTGCGCCTACGAGCGCAGCGACTAAGACTGAGCACGCTACTTCGAAAGGAGTAGTCGCGACTCAGTCAGATGTAACTCCTCAAGCTGATGTCTTGACAATCCATAATGGAGAGTCAGACTCAGCTGAGTGTGAGCTTAAAGCTCCACCAAGTACACCTTCGGCCTCACTAGCCCGCCGTCGCGAGGGCGGCTACGTGAGTGGTGGCTTGCAACCAATGCCACCTCCATCTGAGTGGATGCACTCAGATGGGTCTAGCGCAGCGCTTTTGCAGCGTGCCACTATAGACGCTCATAGATTCTATAGCGTCTTTCCTTTGTGGAAAAAGCAGGGCAAAGCACTTGGTCGTGCTTTCCCAATTCCAGTCGTGCTGCGTTCTAACGAAACAGCCGACGACTATGAAGCTGAACTTCGGCGCCGTGTTACCTTGCATGAAGATGCAACGAAACAGCGGTCGCAGCGAATCAGCTTCGCCATGAAGCGTGCACATGAAATTATGGGCGGTAAGCGACCCCCAATTAATTCTCGCCACGCTTCTTCTGCTAGTCCTTCCGGACCTAGCAGAAAGAAGACAGCTGGTGCTGCTTCACATAAGCAGCCACCAGCCCAGGCACGTCAACGCGCAAAGCGTCCACAGGCTCCCACGAGTCAAAGCTCGTTGGGTAACCCTTCCACTGGACAAGGATTTGGAGCTTTCGCTTCACAAACCGGTGGGCCAACAGCCTTCCAACAAGGAAGCGCGTGTTCCCATCCGTGTCCACCAACACAGGTGGTGCCCGATAGGAGCGGCGATTACGCCCACCTACTCGCGGCTGCCTACCCTGCTGCTGTTCAGTCGCAGGCTGAGTCCGCTGCGCTGAAGAGGCAGGTGACAGATCTCGAGAGTCAAGTCTCGCGACTGAACTCGGATCTGCGCTATGTGAGGACGAGGGACCGTCAGGGGTATGACCGCCTGAAGACCCGTTTGGACATTTTGGAGCGACTAGTGATGAGAGACCCCCGTCAAGCGCAGAGTCCTCGTCGATCGCCGAGTCCTCTATCGCCTCGTTCGTATACGAGGAGCCTCTCGGCTTCCTCGTCGCCCGATCGGTCGCGACGCTCGACTCACAGTCGGCGTCACCATCGGTCTCGTTAGACCGATGCGGATATGTGATCTCTTCTGGATCAACATACCGTTTCAGACGACCCACGTAAAATACGGGGTACGTCTTCATATACGGTGGGAGTGAGCCTATAATTGAGTTCTCCACCCTGTTTTATTGTTTTTGCGACCATGCTGCCAGTGTCACTAGGGCAACCTTGGCCCTTTTTGGCATTCGCACCGAGCGAAGGTAGAGGCCCTCCCCCACTAAGACTCGGGCTGCGTACAAACGATACTGGCGTTCGAGGATGACGCATTCCGTTAATGTAAAACGGTGTTTCACCCGTACTGGCGTGAACACTATTATTTATAGCGAACTCCACAAGTGGCAATTGCTTGCTCCATCTTTTAGAAGCCGCTACTGTACGCAACACATCCGCCACGACTCGATTGGACCGTTCTGTTTGGCCATCAGTTTGGGGATGATTAGCAGTTGACATGTAAAGATTGCTTCCCAGCAACTCAAACACATGTCGCCAAAAACCCGACGTAAAACGCGGATCCCGGTCCGATACTATGTACTCGGGCATCCCGTGTAGTCGATACACGTGATCCAGAAAGAAGAGGGCAGCCTCTTTTCCTGAGATCTTGGTGCTACATGGTGCCAAATGCACCATCTTGCTCAGTCTGTCTACAAAGACGACGAGCCCCGT